ATGAAGTGGATCAGAGAACGGGACCAAAGGTCGAGTGCCATGGGAATCCAGTTTGTCTTTCGTCCTGTAAGACATAACACTGCTGTCCAACTTCGTACAGAGACATTAAAGCAGCGCTGGGGTGAATATGCAACGTGGTATGATGTCAATAAAATCTGAGACATTCCATTTCCTTTAAGTGTTTCAGAATGGATGCAGACGGGACCTCTCACTGTTTCTCTACGGCAGCAACAACTCACACACCAACCCTGTCTCTTCATCTTCTCATTCTCTCCATTCCTCATTGATCTGCAATTCAGGTCATGGGAGGAGGACGAGGAAGAGGAGGAGGAGGAGGAGGACGGGTAAAGTGATCAAGCCATGACATCATTTCTTGGCTACCTCCTCCTCAACACTGTAATGCGAGTGTGTATGTGTGTGTTTTTGTATTAGTCCTTCTCTCGGACACGGGGATAGACTCCTAAGTAACAATTTCCTTCCTAGACATGAGGGGTCCTGGGGCCACAGACTAGTCTAGACCAATCATTTCCACTATGAATGAAAACATCTCTCTGATGAACACTTTTTAAAAACGTTATATTCCAGCACGTGCAATAGGATTGGAATTTTTTTTTCTTCACTTGTTGTTTCACCCGTCTGTAGGCAGGGAAAGATTTTTTTTTAATAACTTCCAGGATTATTTTATCACTTATATATTAACTATCTAAAGCATTGTTTCCAAAAGACTTGGTCGCGACCCGCATGTGGGTCACAAAAGGGTTTTTTGGGGGTCATCTCGCATCATGTTTCCCAGGAGTTTACGAAAAATGTCTATTGACTTGGGTCGCAAAGGTTTGTGACTTTTAAAATATGGGTCACCAGAAAAACGTTTGGGAAACACTGATCTAAAGCTAATGTTTAGCTCATTTTGATCAGATTTCCAATGTTATTTGGAGAGATTAGCAAGCTATCGCTAAGCTAATGTTTAAAGGAAATTAGCTTTTAGGCTACGCTGTGATAATTAACCATGCTGCTAATTTTTAAAATCATCTTGTTAACTATTTTGGTCAATTTGGTTTATTGGTAGCATTACTTTTTTTCATGTTTTAGCATGTTTCCTCCGCACTATTATTTATTTTGGTCGGCCTAAAATTTCTCTAGTTATATTTCTTACAAACTATTTTTTTTGTTTTGTGACTAAAAAAAGACAATTTTTCCAATAGTTTTCTAAATGCCGATTAAGCCTGAGTCATTGGCTCATATTGCAGTAGTACGACTGACCACATGGGGTGATGTGAGATCTGCTCATTGGCACAGCTTGACATTGACAGAGATAGGGATCTGTTTTGTCATGTTCCTGCTCCATGGCAACAAGGTGAATAGGTGCGCTTCAGGTGGCGCTGACGGATCAAACATCCTTTCTCTTATCTCCTCGTGTTGCTTCACTCACGGGCTGCCTCATCAGCTAATGCTCGTAGTGACACTCATACCACGCCCAGTTCCACGTAGAGGACGGCCATATATGGGTACCAGTTTGGAAAACGTTTAGAGATAACGTTGGGTTTTATGGTCTTTCTTTGAAGTGTGAAACTGTCTCAGCTATTTTTATGGAACGCTAGTATCACTGAATTCCCAGTCCATATGCTAATAGAAACCCTTAGTATCACTGAATTCGCAGTTTGTCTTTGGTGACATGGCTGTCATAAACATATATTTATTTTTATTATATATTTCTATGTTTTCTATTAAAAAACAAACAGAAGGTTAGCAACCTGCTAACCTGTTCCCAGTCCATATGCTAATAGAAACCCAAACCCAAAATTTAATATTGAGATATTCAATGGGTGTGCATATGTCTATTATTTCAAAAATAAAAATTTAAAAATAGGTCAAATAAAATGTCAACTGAACCAAAAAATATCAAGATCATCTCCCACAGTACCTCCATGGACCCCTAGGGGTCCCAACATAGGGGTCCAAATAAATATAGAAATATTTAATCAACGTATTAGGTTAAATTTGAATTAATCAAAAATCATAATAATAATAATAAATGTTGTAATAATAATAATTGTTAAACCTTTAAAAAAAATCATTGTGGCAACCCTATTTAATAATTGTTAAACCCTTAAAAAAAAATCATTGTGGCAACCCTATTTCTGGGCTTAAGACTTTGTTCAGGGTTCAAAAGCAGTCCGGCCACGTTTAACCTGTGACACACAGAGAAGAAATGATGGAATGTGGGGCTGTCAATGTTGGTGGCCTCTTTTGACGGATTGTTGCCTCTCACAGGATGTTGGTTTTTAATGAAGCTTTTCTAGACAGACATTACTAATATCAATGTCTGACACGGACCACACATTCAGCTCACGGAGAGAGAGAAAAACGAACTAACCCTGTGTTTCTCTCTTGGTTGGTTTCTGTTGCGATTGCAATTACTGAGAGTTTTATTTTGTCCACATTCTTCTAATCACAGGCGGAGGCCACTCACTGGAAACTGTCAGGAAGCCGCAGCACAGTTCATTCAAACTCTGCTCGTTATCTTGCCTCCCGGCTCGAACCACCCACTCTTCTCCACTTTTCTGATACCAGAAAAACAATAGGGAGAAAACTTTTCCAGTGACCCGTCACCTCTGCAGTGGGTCTCCATCAAACGCACCCACTCAGTCCTGGGTGCGGCACCACTGATTGGACTCCTACACTGCCTGTGTGTGGTGTCACGGTGTGGTTAAGGAATTGGTCACAGAACCAAAACAATAACAGAGTAATTGGAAAATGCCGGGAGTCCTCCTACTGATGTCATGGGCTCTGTTCCGTGTGTGTATATGATTGGAATGTCTTCAAGTCACAGAACACGGGGAGGGCGACCGTGAAGAAGAAGAATGACTGCTTGTAGTTATTTTGGAGAAGCTGTAATGACTGCATTTAATTTGGTAAATCTTTATCTTCTTGTCTTTGTTGGTGGCTTGGTTTGTCTCAATCAGCAGTGTATTACCTGGCCACCCCACAAGGGGGCGAGGTCAGTTATCTATTTCATTCAAACATTCTTTATCTGCTATAATCCTGGGCAGCGGCCCCCGACCTTTTTTGTACCAAAGACCGGTCGGCCGGTATCAGCCATTACTGCAGACCGGTAAAACCACACCAACGTTAAAGGATCATTACACTTTCAAAATAAAACGTCTTTAAGACTTTATTGTGTTAGTGTCTGTTTTGAAACATTGACAGATTATGTGTTAGTGCCTGTTTTGAAACACAGATCTTTGAATGAAAAAAGTAGTAAAGTAGTAAAGGGATATGACTGGATTCTTTTTGAATGAATCAAGTTAGTAAAACGGAAGTGCATTTTTTCACTGTGTCCGGTACCAAATTACCTATGAACCGGCACTGGTCCCCGGACCAGGATTTGGCAACCCCTGATCTTCAGATCACAAGCCAATACCAGTATATATATGTGTATATATATATATATATATATATATATATATAGTAAGGTGAAATAAAAGGTGTGTAGGCTCGTGTGTGTTTGTCTGGACAGTAGGCGTAAAAGGAAGTTTATACAGATTACCGTGTGTATCTAAGGTGCGTCTCAAATACTTACACAAGTCGTGACAGCGCACGATCACAGCCATGAAATAAAAAAGCTCAGCAAACTACATTCCGATGGCCCTGTTAAAAGAGGAAGTTATAAAAGGTGAAACCACAAAACTGGGTCACAGTGTCCAGTGTTTGTTGTCCTGTTGCTGCGCAATTAACACGTTTTGTGCTGATAAACCTGGTGAACACATTCCTTCTCTCTCTCTCTCTCTGTCTCTCTGTCTCTCTGTCTCTCTTGCAGCCTCATAAATATAACATTGTCCTCCTTGGTATAGCATGTCGTCCATTTTTTTTTTTTTGCAGTTGAAACAGCAGAACATCCAAAGTTGGTGATGTTAGTCTTAAAGTAGAGTGATCATAAAGTGTCATCGTGGTGAAAGTGACCTACATGCTGTAAAGGACACGTGTTGACGTTTGTCTCACTGTAATAATTCCTCCAGATGTGCATGGACACACACGCACACTCACACAAAGGTTTGTTCTGTGAGCCCTTCTTTGTACTTCCTGTACCCACACAAAAAATACATATAATCTAATCCTAACTCCAAACTTTATCCTGAACTTCAGGAACTTCTTGCTCAGTGGGGACAGTCCTAATTGTCCCAAGATCAAGAACAAAGTAACCCTAAATGAATAGAATACACATGTTCCACCGAGGATAGTCATACAGAACCACAAACACACTCCTCGAGAGCCTTATGATTATTTTAAAGCACAGTTAAAGCACGTTTTCAAATGTATTTCCATTCATTCTAAAGGAAACTAAGACCAGGATCAACGGTCAGGTTCTGATTAGAGCGCCACCTGTCTGTTTACTAATGGCATTTACCTGATATGGGACTGAAACGTTTGCTTGATCTTCTCTAGTGGTCTGTGGCAGCCTCTAGTGGTCGAAGCTTCGTACTGCTTCACACTCGGTAAAAAAACGATGCATTTTCTATCTGTTTTATCAGAACTATTTGTTTTACGAGCTTTCTTTATTGTGGCTTTATCTAAACAGCTGAACAGCTGCACATCGATAAGGACCTCAGCTGAAGCAGCTGCTGGTCAAATATGTAAATAATAATATTAATTTTTAACAGTAAATTTCCATGTGATGTCTGTACAATTATTTAATAGAAATTCCAATCATTATATAAAAAATATATATAAATATTATTATAATATCAATAGTAATATTCATAACAATAATATAGGCTAAAGAAAGTAATTATGAAATATAATAAATAATAAAAAATAATAAAAATAATGATAAAGCTTTTCAGCATTGTTTCAGTAGGAGTATAAATAAGTACATCAGAATAAAAAAAAATATGGCAGTAAAATGGTATAAGACTACTGCAGTAGTATTTTGTCGTATTACATGAAAATACCCTGATGAGACATAAACAACGTCATGAAATTGGAGCAGTGCTTGTGGTATGTAACAACATTTTATTGCCATTTTTACTGCAGACATCATGTGCAAAAACTCACTCAAACAATGTTAGAGAAAAAAACATTAACAAAATAAATATGAGGTTCTTTTAACCAAGTATTTTCAAGTCTTTTAGGCAGCTGTTATTAAAGTACACAAATCATTAAATTAGTAAACTTAGATATGAATACCGTCTGTGCAGAGTGGTGACATTCAGTGTGATGTTCTTGCTTTGTATCAAAAAAAACAAAAAACAAACAACAACCCATCATTATTTAAGCAGACAATTATATCATAAACAATTCATGGAAAATAATGCTATGTTATGGGTTTTTTTTTTTTTCAAAAGCCGTCACTTAAAGCAGCCTAGCATACAAGAAGCAGCAGAAAATAAACAAAGACTAAAGAATCCCATCTTCAGTTGCAGCTCAGGCTAACATTACACACCCTTTTTTATACACTGTGTATTTAAAACCCAACAGGCTCCAGGAAGGCGGTCTCTATCCTCTATTTCAGGACCTTTTCCTCCCCGTTGGGGGTAGGTTGGGGGGTTGTTTGTGGTAATATTCTGGCGGGGTGGGATTGGGGCTTGCATTCATCCCTGTAGGGACATAATACATGCTCTCCAGGTAACTCTGGTCCAACTGTGGGTGGCTCTGGAGTTCTGGCTTAGACCTCGGACCAGTGTGATTTCTGTAGCTGGCTCCAGACCCACTGGGGTGTAGCGTTGCTTCGCCAGACGCCTCAGTGTATCGAGGGGGCTGGGGCTGATGTTGGCTATGGGCTGCAGGAGCAGGAGGAGGAGGAGCAGGTGCAGGAGGAGGAGCTGTATAGGGCATGTACTGAGGAGCAGGGGCATACATATTTGGGTTGTGAAGAGATGGATAAGGAGCTGCAGAAGGAGGATACAGGCCTGAATGGGACACGGCTTGCTGTGGGATGAGAACTTCCACGTACTGGCCGGTCTCCGGGTCATACAGCATCTTCCTCAGAGGCTGCACAGGAACCTCAATGTAAAAATACTTCCCCGTCTCGGGGTCCAGGAGCACTCTTCGAGGTGTTTGTCCATAGCTGCTCTCCGAGTACACACTAGCACTGTCGCCGCCATATTCAGACCCGTATGAAGGCCCCAGGCTCTGAGGGCCACACATGTACTGGGGATCCATAGGAGGAAGTCCAGGAGAGTGGCTGTGGGCAGGGTCACTGTACGCTGCTGCAGCCAAGCCTGGTGGCTGTTGCTGAGGTGATCTGTGGGGTCCAGGGTTCCTTCGAGGGTCCATATGCTGCTGTGGCTGCAGTGGTCTTTCGGCAGCGCAGCCCTGCATTAAGGAGTGATGAGGAGGGCATGGAGGGGGTTGGTACAAGCCCGGTGGTTGGTTTGGACCAAGAGTACTTGATTTAGGAGAAATAGGTCGGTAGCTCAAGGGCTGAGGGTCCGGTCTGAACTGATGTGGACGGAGTGGGGGCTGAGGCAACGAGAATGGCAGTCCCTGTCCTGGAGAGTGTGCAGGAGCAGGGGGAGTGAGGGTATGGGGGCTGCGGTGATGGTGAGGAGGGGTGTGACCGGGGTGCGTAGGGCAGGTGGCTGTGCAGGGGCAGGGAGGAGGTCGAGACGAGGGCTGGTAGCGATTTGGCCTCCTGTGGGTCAAATCTGGAAGCATGAGAGGGCTGAAACTCTCCCTTTCATCGTAGCTGGGGGGGTCATCCGAGGCATAAAAATGCATGTCATCTCCCCTGGGGGGGCGCTCGCTAGACAGTGATCTGCTGTAAGTCTGCGGTGTGTATGCTGGTGCTTGTGTTGTGGGCACAGCAGCTGGTTGGTTTGTAGTGTTTGCAGGTGCAGGCACAGCTTGTTCAAGAGAGCTCGCCGTCCTGGGTTGAACTGGTGGCTCAGTGTTTGGATCGTCAGCAGCACGGTGGTGTGGTCTAGTGGCTTCAGCAGTGGAGGGTTCGGGACTCTGGCTTGCTAAGTGGCCAGAAATTGGAGCTGAAACTGGGGTCACACCGTCAGAAGTGGCTGATGCTGGGACTAAGGTTATTGGTCTCTGCGTATATCTGGATATTACAGGTGAGGCAGCGCGTTGTTGTTGTTGTTGTTGTTGTTGTTGTTGTCCTCCTCTGTCAGTGTTAGCCTCTGGCTCCGGTGAGGATGTTGGCCGGTTTGAGATACTGGAACCGGTCGCTGCTGTTGTTTTGCCATGGGGAGGTTTGAGGGCGGTCATCGTAGACACGGCTAGTTTTCTTGTGTAATTTGAATTGGACTCATTTGAGATTTTCCTGTAAATAGTTGGCGAGGACACCACAATAGTTTGTGACCTTTCGTCAAGCAGTGGTTTCATCGCTGACGTTGTTGCCGATATTCTTTGAGCTTCATTCGGCACCGCTCCTAATTCTGCTATTTTGAATTTGCAGCTTGGTTTTGGGGGCACCACTGGTTTTTGAGAATTTTTAGCCACAGATTTGACTTCTATTGTTTGAGGCCTGTGGATTCCTGTCACATTAACAGGAGTCTCTTCTTTGGGCGTTTCTTTACAGGGCGGTTTCACTTCAGTTGGCTGGTTTCTTAATCTCCTTATGGCTGGGGACCTCAGTGGAAAAGTTGGATCCAATCTTTTCACAGCTTCAAAATCTCCACCTTTTTCCTCCTTTTGTGCAGCGAGGGTCAGCATTTGCCTCGGTACATCTGCCCGTGAAGGTGCGGTTTCCTCTATAGCTGTGTCAGTTGGAGGTTTAACGTCATTGTCTTCAGGCTCTGCGGTTGTTGCGGTAATGGTGGTTGTGTTTTCTGATACTAACGACGGACCTGACGCAGTGGATGATGAGGAGAACGTCCTCTGTCTCTGAGGTTCACTCAGCCCACCCTCTGAGTGCAGCGGCGTTTGTAGCGGGATCTCCAGGTAGTTTACATGTTTACGCGTGGGCCCATTCCCTCTGATTGAGTTTTGTCCATTACTCACCACTGCTCCAATATCAGCTTGATAGCCTTTCTCCTTCAATAACATTGAAACAGCGTGGCCACTGTCCTCAAGGCCACTGAGGTCAGTGGTAGGTCCAGGTGAACGTGAAAAACCAGGGGTTTGTTCTGGGCTTAACACCTCTTCCTGGGCAGGTGATGTACGTATCTTAGTCCTGTTGGATCCATCCCTTATCAACATGACAGCAGTGGACACCTCTCTGTCCTTACTGGGTACTTTGGGGAGACATCCAAGCATGGGAGGTTTTCTGTCTACTGCTCCAACTCCAGGCCTGTTCTCTTTATCTGATATTTTATGCATTTCTATCAGAGGCTCCTGCGTCTCCGCAGCTTTCTTTGGCTGGTGCTGACGTGGCTCGTCATATCCTGCGGCATCATTCTGTATATCTGTGAATTCTCCTTTACTCTCTGGAGAAGCCTGTAGTTTCTCACTTTTGTTTTCAGTCTTGTTGGTTGACGTTTTATTTTTGTCATCCTTCCAGCAAACTGCCTTGTATTCTATTTGCATCGGTTGTGAATGAGGCTTAGCTTTACTTTGCAACAATGTTGGCGACGACAACACCTGGGGTTCTTCCACCACAGCTTGTCGCTTTTCGTCCCTGTCTAATCCATAATCTTTTTCCTTTTTGCCACTCCTCTCCTCTGCCCTCGTTTGAGTTTCCTCTTCCTTCTGGTTACGTTGAGAAACCTCAAGCCCTCTTTCCTCTTTTATGTCTCTTCCCAGTTTGTTAAAAGTTGGCAACATTGGTTCATTTCCGTCTGATGTCATCACAACAGTAGGAGTTTTAAAGGACAAATTGTACGTATTCTTTACCAGCTGTCTGACATCTCTGACTCTGTGAATGGGAGCTTTGACTTTATTATTATAGCCATTTCCGTTCTCTTCAACCGTATTCACATTCACTGTGGTTGCTACTGTTTCCTGCTTCTCTGTGGGACATGTAGCTGGAGGTGAAGCCTCAGGTTTGTTTTCTGCCTCCGGTGTGAGACGGACATTTAATGAAGCTTTCTTTTTCTCAACAGATCTGGGTGCAGTGGCCTCTGGGCTGGATGTGTAGGCATTCGTGTCTTCCTGCTGTGGAGGTTTGCGGTTCCCTGTGTTTTCACATTCCTGGTCTCTGTTTGTCATCCTGGCTGGGCTAATGCTGGCTCTAGTGGCAGAAGAAGCTTCTGTGTTCCCAGCAGTGGCATCTGCTGAGTCACCTGCCTCCTGTTCGTCCCAGTTTCTGAAGCCATCTGCTCGTCGTACTCCAGTCCTGGCCTGTTTACTGTCGAGTGGAACTTTTAGTTCCGATCTCATTTCTGACCGTAGAGAAATCGCACTTCTGCTCTGATACTCAAGCTCTTCACTGTCACTCTGTGAAAATGTGACACTTTTGCTGCTGCTGGATGAGCTTGGCCTGTGAGTGGGTGGCGCTCCAAAACTTCTGGGTGATTTGACGTTATCCTTCCTGATTGGTTCATCTCTCGCAGGATGTCTCTCAGATAGAAAACCGTAATCTGACTGAGGAGTAGAGCTTTCAGGTTTTGGTGACACTTTCAGTGGTGGCACCGTGCTCTCAGTTGCGGCGCTGATTTCTTCAAGTGCAGAGCTCTCTTCTTCTGCTTCTTCTCCAGATTCTTTGTCCACACTTTGCATCTTCTTTGACAAAACATTCTTAATGAGACAAGTGGCCATCTTTGTTTTGGAGCTTGTTTCATCCAGAGACATGGATTTCTGCAGCTTCGACTTAGTTTCATTTTCTTTACTTGGTTCAAGGGTACATTCAGCAGGGACGCGTTCCTCTGTTGCAGCAGGTGTGCTGTGTTGTCTCACCAGTGTCTCTCTGATGTGAGTCTCCATGGTGGGGCTCTCCTGCAACACTGCAGGACTACTGTTTTCACTGCTTTCATCATGTTTCCCTTCACCATTATTCTTTCTCTTCAGTTGAATCTCTCTCTTTGGAACTCCTCTTCGCACTCTCCTCGAGTCCTCTCTTTCCAAGGCCACATCAACACACTCAAAGCTGCCCATCTCATAACGCCTTAAAGGATCTAGGCCGTCAGAATGGTATGACGATGACTGATGGAAAGGGACATCATCATTGTCCAACTTCGAGGTTGAACCCTTAAAGTCAGCATAAGCTTTCCATCCTGCACTGGCCCCAGCAGGGCTCCCCTGGGTCGATGGCTGAGAAATGTTGGTTGATGAAGGGTGACTGGAGCTATACATATCAAGATAATCAAGCTCAGGGCTTGACAAGCTACTGTAAGCCACATCTGTAAACCACTTCACCTCGTGATCTGCATCATCTAGTTCACTTCCCATGCTGGAGCTGGAGCTTCGGCACGGCCTGCTTGCCGCCGTGTTTCCAGACGTACTCTTTTTGCTCTGGTGTGCGGGAGGTTTGCGGTGCCTGCTAGGACCATCCCCCCTGCTGTCTTGCTGGGAAGGTAGTCTCTGAAGAGTTTGTTGTTGCTGGAGCGGTCTGGTGGCAAACAAGCCTTCTGAATAAGATTGCACTGTTGGCAGCCCCTGACGGGTCTCTTTGCTTGGGGGAGCTGCACCGCGACTCACAGGCCCTTTTCTATTCCTGGAAATGAATGACAGCTCAACCTGTTCCCCTCTGTAACTGGCGTCCCTCTGCCACCCCTCCCGTTTTGTTGGAGCCTGCTCCTCCTTATTTCTTCCTCTCACCATCTCTCTATTCCTTTGCCTCACCCTATTTAACTCCCTCTCTTCTTCCAGCTGCATTTCCCTGTTCATCTCCAGTTGCTCTTCAACACAGTGGGCCTGATTATTTATTTTAACTGGGGCAACGTTGGGGCTTTCCCTGTTTGTCACTGAAGTATTCAAATTTCCACTTAGCGGGGATGTTTCAGCCTGAGCCGGGCTGTGACTTCTGTTCTGCCAGTGTCTATAGGGTTTCTCTGGGGCTAAAATGTGGACAGGCGTAAACCTGGTGAGTGGGGGTGAGGGAGTCCTCCTTCTGTGGGCATGGTAGGCCATGTTTGAGGTGAAACTCTCTTCGCTGTCACAACTAACTTTGTTGGACAAATTTCTTCTCGAGCTCTCAGGTGTGCAAGCAACTTTCAATGATCTGTTGCTTTCAGAAGCTGGCAAAACACCTATGAACTCCGGCTGTGTTTTTTCCTGCAACGGTGAGGAACTCAAAGTCTTCTGGAGAGGTGAAATAGCCGGACTTCTGTTGTTAGGGATGGTAGGGGAAAGAGAGGTGATTTTAACAGGGGGATTCCTACAAATGACCTGTTTCTGAAAACAAGTATGAGCGAAGTCTTGTGTCGTATCAGGCAAACAAAAGTTATCCTGAATGTTTACTTGTTTTGTCTCTAGAAAAACCTCTTTTCCTGTGCTTTGCTGTTGTGACAAGATTTCACCCTTTTCCTCAGTCTTAAACGGTGAGGTCAAAATGGGGGAACCGATGGAAATTGGTGAGGAGGTGCTTATAATTTCAGTATGACAAGACTTGTCTCCACTCTCTGATTCAATTGATGGTGACACGTGTTGAACCTCAGCTGAAAATAAATACTTGTCAACTTCAGTTATAACAGTGAGAGAAGGAGGCTTTGATTTCTCAGGGCAGTACTCTGTAGTGGGGGAGGCAGGTGAGTTCCTTTTCGGAGATTGAGAAATGGGTGAGCGGACTGGGCTTGTCTGGTATTGTGGTGTAGGACTTTGAGGCAGAAGAGGTGAAGTGGTTTGGTATCTAGGTTGGGGAGAGGGAGTCTGCTGCTTTGTCTGAGGCGAAGGTGTTTGGTATCGTGTTGAATACGACACAGATATTTCAGGCTGTAGGTCACAGCTTGTGAACTCTGATACTTGTGGAGATTCCCGTGGTGTACCAGTAGACTCTGCTGTGCTGCTACGGTGACTCACACTGATTTGGGTTGGACTCTTTGATTCACTTCTATCAGAGTCTGGAGTGGAGAGACGTGAGGGGTGCAAAAAGGCAGGAGAGACCCTTTCCTCTGGCTGAACAACTGTGTAAGAAAACCCTGTGATGTGAGGGGATGAAGTCGGGCTTCTGGAGGAGGCAACGTCAATCTGGGGCTCAGGGGAGGATGTTGTAATCCTGATTTCAGGTGAGGGTGCAGTATGTCTGTGCTCCAAGGGTGAGCAGTCCCTCCTAAACTCAGGTGATGGAGATAGACTATAAGAGGCAACAGGTGAGAACGCCTGGGTGTTAATTTCAGTTGGAGTTGAAATGTGCCTCAATTTAGGCGAGGGGCTCGGGGAAGGATTTCTACTATGAACTGGAGAAGGAGCACTTAACAGGCCAGGTGACGGATCTCTGTTTGATAATTTAGGTGAAACACTGATTTCCACAATCCCAGGGGAAGATGCTATCAAAATGACTGGTGAGGGAGGGGTGTATCGTGGAGCAGGTGAGGAGAGTGTACTGCCTGCCTCTACTGATAGGCTTGTGCTTTTGCTATCAGGGGTAGATATAGGAGTAATGTCTATTCCTGCTTGACAATGTGTTGAAATTGGCTCTGGGGAAGAGTGAGACTCCTCAATACTGGGTGTGGAGCCTCTGCTTAAAAGGTCAGGTAGAGAGACCCTCCCTCTTAGCTCAGAGAAGGGGGATGATGCTTGAGTATTACAGGAAGTGGGCCTGTTCTTCAGCTCAGGGGAGACTGAAGCCTCTCTGGAACTGAACGATAACTCTTTACTAAATTCTGAATAAAGAGGAGATGAAACAGTATCTCTAGATTGAAATGTAGATTCTGGAAATTCTATAGCGATATCTTTGGATGGCAATTCAGGGGAAGCACTGCTAAAGTTACAGCTCCTTGGCTGAGGTGAGTTTTGTGCCAACCTGATTTCAGGTGTCAATCGAGTGTTCACTGACTCAGTAGAGGATGAACTGATACGCTTACTAGAGTCAGAAATGGGGCTTGGAGTTAATGCTTGATATGAGTGGCTATTATGTTGACCTTCGGAAACAGGGGTTAGTCTCTCAAAGTCAGCTTCTGAGTGAGATCGTCTTGAGTCAGACGATGCGGGTGAATGACGTTCTTCAGCTGAGAGAGAAGATACTGGTGAAGTTCCTTCCCTTGGTCTGGGGGTACAGAGACGACTACGTGCTGGAGAGGAGATCCTCTCACCAGGTGAACTTGCTGCACCAAAGGCAAGAACCGGTGATGTGCTTTTTCTGTCTGTGTTTGGCCTAGTCTCCTCAAAAGAGTCTGGTTGCTCCAAAGTCACACCCTCACGCTCTGACTGACGCCCCTCTGAAGATGAGTTCTGCAATGGGGGGCTTTGAAGCCTTTGTAGCGAATCGTCAAATCCCTCTTCTCCTTCACTTGAGCCTGGTGCTGTGTGATAAGACCCTGAAGAGTCGTTTAAATCATCCACCAGGGATGCTCCCGACGCTGTTCCGTCCACGTCTGTGTGTGGATGGACAAAAGTCCCAACGGCAGGACTGCTTGACAGTGAAGGTGAATCACCCTCGTCACCAAAAATGTCACACAGGCAGGTGGTTTCAGAGATGCTGCTGTGCTGAGCAGGGACGTTGATGATGTCAAATATTTCAACGTGGTTCGGGGTGCCGTCACGATGGCACAGGGAAAATGTGCGTGGCGCGCTGCGCAGGAAGGAGTAGCTGTCCCCCTGGAGAGTCCAGCTGTCCATTGCTACTCCACAAGTTCAAAATTCTCTCGGCGGCCAGTCCCGTCCACTCCTTCAGAGTCCTTTGGGCTGTCCTCCTGGGCTGGAAATATGATATGGTCAACTGAAGGATGTGAACCTCATCCATTTATATCAAAATTAACATTTTGTATACATGTTTACATATCAAAGACAAGGGATGATGTCAACTGATGTTCCTGATCTGCAAAAGCAAATAGATCTTTAAATCTGAGATAGTATGAAGAATATATTCCACCTTTAAAAAGGGTTCACAAAATAAAAATAACCCACTCTGTCACTGTGGCTTAAAAAGCAGCGCCAATCAATCTGGACTTTACCTAATAAAAACACTCGTGAAGTCTATAAAAAACGTGGTTAAATACCAGAAATATTTTTTTTTCTGTATAGGCTTATAGGCTCTTTGAGTTTTAATTATAATATTACATTTATCTTATTAGAGTTCATAGTGCTTTTTAAATTGCGGTGCCTGAAAACTGTTTATCGTAGATGAAAACAATGGCTTTAGCTCTGGTTTGTACTTAACCTTCTTCCAAACTTTCCACAGTTGCCTTGATGTAAGACTGACTACAGGACAAGTGCTAACTGGGAGAGGCAGAGCGTATAGCACTGTACCTTTGGCCAATCCTGAAGAGTTCCTGGGAGCATTGAGTTCCACCGTGTTGCAAAATCTGCCTGTCATCCAGTCAAAATCATCAACACACTTGCAACTTACAACAATCCTGTGTAGCTGCTGAATCCCGGACTGAGCGGCTCCGTACAGCTCTGTCTGGCAGTGCCGCACTGCCATGTATCAGACTCGCAGAAGAAAACTGTACATAGGTATCTTGCTCAGACGAATTACATCCTCCAGTGCTCCCATCTCTATTTCTGCCCCTCCCATTGGAGCTGGCTTCGGTATAAGCAGTTACTCATTCTGACCTGGATCTTTTTTCTTCTCCTCTCAGACCAGGGTTTGGTTGGGCATTTGCTCTACACAGTGAGCCAGTCTGGGGGTGCGGTGTTGGGGGGTGGGTTTATAGTTAGAAGCAGGTGCTGATCCAGCCAGGACAGATGAGTGCCCCTGGAATCTGACACTTAGAGCCAGCTCAGTCACAGGGCTTCTCTATATATAGACCCATAGTATCAGGGCCAGATAGCCATAGCTTTAGCTCTTTGCCTGGGCATGCAGCATAGAGAAGAATGGGAAAATGCCAAACTCCAACTGGAGTAACACACTGTCCACTTTACTACTACCTAGAAGGGATATTTACCTATGACACAACACTAAAAGAATGTATGTTTGTATGTGTGTGTACTGTATGGGGGTGTGCCAATGCATGTGTGTAAAGGCTATCATGTATCTGTGGACAAAGGTTAACACAGAGCAGACACACGGCTCACATGTAGAACCCCTGTGCATTTTATGTTAGGGTAGAATATAGATACATATTGTCAACCGTGTTGTTCTCTAAGGTGCACCAATTTCACTTTTAAGATGGGCTACTATCATAACTACTACCACAGCCCCGGTGGCAGAGGCAGTTCAAGTGTAGAGGCAATGAGTTCAGGAGGGCTTCTGTCCCTAACCAAATACCTCATTGGATTACAATTCACTGTTGGTCATCAAGTCATTCATGGCAAGCCAATGGAAAATCTTAGCCTTGGCTAAATGTTGCATCAAGGTTACCTTTTTAAGCACTGAGAGTTTGCTTTATAAAGTCAACCAGCTACTTCATGTCACGGCTTAAGCGTCATCGTCCACTGTTTTGTTTAAGCCAGGGGTCTTAAACATTTGTTATGCCAAGGCTAGTTTTTGTTTTAGTGTAGTACTAAACTATTCAAATAATATGCTGGATATATATTTTGATCTTCTTATTTTAAACATGTAAAAGGTAAAATAATTACTTGTGGCCACTATGTGGGACTGAGTTTGTGCATTTTTGATTAAAAGATATTTTAAATAATATAGCACTTTGCTAAAATATATGACTAGAGAGAGACATGTGAGAATTTTAAAATAATAATAATAATATATATTTATATAATATTTCTTGCCTGGGTCTAAAGTGACATTTTTACATTTACAGTGTAGCTATATTCAAAAAATAAAAAAATAAAAAGATTGTGCCTTGACGTTTGCTATTGTTCAGCGGTTTCAGACCAATGTTAAAGAATAAAATAGAAGAATAGAATAAACCTGCATAAAAAGACATTTAAAATTAATAAAGTTTGAATAAACCTGCATAAAAAAGACATTTAAAATTAATAAAGTTTTAAATCTTTCCTTTACGCACACTGATAGATAAGTCTTATGCTCGGCATAACAACTGTAGTTGTGGCAGCGCTGCAGGAAAGAGTACGACTCATAAGGAAAGAATGATGAGCACCTCTGCTATTAGGAGCTTTGCTTGACATCACTGATAGATTAGTCACTCCATCCTGCTGCATTTAAAAAAAAGACAACACATTCTCATCCATCCATTTAAACATATAGGCGGAAGAAAAATGGAAGAAGAAGGAAGGAAGGCAATCCCACATTTATTATACAAAACAAGTAACACATTTGGTTTAAGCAAATAAAAATGCAGAAAATGGCAATTACTGCTTCCAATCTTAATTGTACATGTCATTAAACCCGGCTCAATTGAATTTAGCACAGCATTGCAGTTTGAATAAACTTGGCTTTTATTTTGAAAGTAACAACACGGGAAGTTCCGCATTACGGCTGCTAGCGTTTCCACAACAGGCAACTGGCTAACGCTAATGTTTGCTAACTATTTGGCACAATAGGTAAGTGTCGTTTCTGTAGTCACAACCTTAACTTTATTAAAACTATGCTATCTGTTTGAAGCGTTAAACTTATGTGAATTAACGTGGTTGTCATTTTGTCCTGTAGTATTTTTCAGTGAATCTTGTTATCTCGGCTAGCTAACTAGCTGTTGAGTAGCCTTTGTAGCTTAGCCAGAATCAGCGTCAGCGTTTGTTTACGTCCGCTTTTGCCGCAGCTAAACAAAAATCCGAACCGCTACTAATTACATATTCTTCTTAAATGTCGACCACATACAATTTTAATTATTATTTGCCAGTCCAACAAATACAAAGTTGCTGCTTGAAACACAAGCGTATTTTGTGTTAAATGCTGGTTTCCTCTGTTGCGGTAGGTGGACATTTTCTGTGTTTAGCTCACAGGCGTTAAATGTATGTACAGTCATACGGTTTCTTTGTTTTTAATTATAAACACAACTCGTGTGGCTTAGGTGCGTCCTATATTGTGATCTTATTTAAATGTATTATAATAAGCCAGTTTTTATATTACTACGTCTGAGGGTGAGTTTAGCGGTGACTGTCTTTAGTAAACAGCAGGCCGCAGGGAACACTGTGTGCCTGCTGTTCATCAAGTCAGGGGCTGGTTGGTTGTTTTTAAAGTCACATTAGACCAAACTGATAAGGAATAAATAAGAGTTTCTTTGTTCAAATCTGTCAGCTGTCAGAGGTCGATTAACCCATCATCGCGGTGGCAGTGTAACAGTCATGAGACTGATGGATATCATGTACCGTCTGATAGTGAAGTGATACTAGATTCTTTACTCCTCTGCTGGCTCAGACTGGAAACGCACTTGTTTCTGTTATGTATCAGCATTCTACAAATACAGGCATTACAAACAAAAAATTAAAAAAAGAAAATGTCAACTTCAGTACACCAGTCATTTAATAAGGTCAATAGAGCGTTGTATAAAATAAAGTACAAATTATTTTTACATACTTGTTCTTGAGGTTATAAGATGCTTTAAAAAATAATTCACTGTTGTGCTGCCACTGCTCTGGGTTCTGATTAATGTGTCTATATATGTGGCCCAAATTAATTCGTAGGACAAAGCACCTACACTTAAGCTTGTGACTGCAGTACGTAGACATTTGTTAGGGCTTGTTTATTCAACAGAGAATATTATTGTGGTACTTGATAAAAGCTCCACCTTCAAAAATGTTAGATTATTCATGAATGTGTGTACTTACTACTACAAGACTAGTAAATTGGCACAGAGACACTTAAATAAAAATGTACATTTACGTTTAAAAAATGTTCTGCTTTGGTTAGTCTGGTTTATACTGATAAAAGTTATTTATTTATACTTTTTGTTTTTCTAGCTGTGATCTATAGCTAGGGAAATGTAAGCTTCAAGTTTTGACTTTATAAAATACAGTAGATGTGTAGTTCAAAGGGATCAAGACGTCATGTATTGCTTACTTATATGGATCATGAGCAGGATTAATTATATTTGTGTGTGGCTGTTGAGGCCTGAACTAATAATTCCTTAATTTTTATTTTTTCTTGAAGGTGTCAGTATTTTGTGTGTGTGTGTGTGCGTGTGTGTGAAAAATGGAACAGTGTGCATGTGTGGAAAGGGAGCTGGAGAAAGTACTTCATCGCTTTGTAATGTATGGGCACCAATCTGAGGAGAGACTCGACGAGCTCCTGCGCAGTGTCTGTGAAATACGAGGACAACTAGTGGCCTTTGGTAAGACAAGTTTGTCCACAATGTCTGAGATCAACTGTGGTGCTGTATATTTTAATGTCAGTTGTCAATTTAAGTATAACTTGGTGGGTTTTTTATGTTTGTTTTTTTAAATAAATCTTGACAGGTGTACAAGATGCAGACTTATCTGTCCTGTCACAGACCATGGCTCAGTGTTGTAAGAATATCAAAGAAACAGTGCAAATGCTAGCTTCACGACATAAGGACATCCACGGCAGTGTGTCCAAAGTGGGCAAAGCCATTGACAGAGTAAGGACTGCCGGCAAACTCCTTAAACATTTCCCGTTTGTTCTGTACACAGATGTTATATCTTGCCTTTCTCTGTATAGAATTTTGATGCAGAGATCAGTGCTGTGGTGGCAGAGACGGTGTGGGACACACCAGAGAGACAGAAATACCTGAGTGAGACTATCGTGGAGCATTTGTACAGACAAGGGATGCTCAGTGTTGCAGAGGATCTGTGTCAGGTAAGAAGCTCTGAACATTTCAGCCACACAGTCCTTCTTTTATCCTTGTTTTGTGAAACATCACCATTTTTTTCTTTCTAGGAGTCTGGTGTAGTTATAGATATGAGTATGAAGCAGCCTTTCCTGGAGCTGAACAGGATCCTTGAAGCTCTGAGGATGCAGGATCTTAGGCCGGCACTAGAGTACTTCAATTTTTTTCTATTAAAGCTCTAGCAAAAGCAAATGAATGCTTTATTTTAAGGCTTGAAACTTTCACTGATCTCCGTGTTGATGTCGTGAACTTTTCCAGGTGGGCTGTAACGAATCGACAGCGCCTCCTGGACTTAAACAGCACTTTAGAGTTCAAGCTGCACCGTCTTTACTTCATCAGTCTGCTCAGTGGAGGAATCAACAACCAAATGGAGGCGCTGCAGTATGCCAGGCACTTTCAGCCCTTTGCCTCTCAGCATCAGAGAGGTAAAAACCCAACTAAAGCATAATCACTGACACAAAGATGTCCCACTGCCATTTCCCTGTGACTGAAACTTAAAAAAAAACCCAGATAACTGATGTTCCTAGTTTTTGTCCCTCCAGATATCCAGATCTTGATGGGCAGTCTGGTGTATCTGCGTCATGGCATTGAAAACTCGCCTTACCGCGGCCTGCTGGAGACCAATCAGTGGGCAGAGATTTGTAACATCTTCACCAGAGATGCCTGCGCTTTACTGGGCCTCTCTGTAGAGTCGCCACTGAGTGTGAGGTCAGAGAACGGACAACCACACACACAAAAGACTGTAAACATGGTCAAAAAGGTTAGATATACAGTGTAGTATATCTAATATCTTTATCTCTCCCCAGCTTTGCATCAGGCTGCATGGCTCTGCCAGTACTAATGAACATTAAGCAGGTGATAGAACAGAGACAGTGCAGTGGAGTCTGGACACACAAAGATGAGCTACCTGTGAGTTGCAATTAAAAATTTCATAAAACTGTTTTGTTTTTTTCTTTTTGTCCACATCACTTTTACAATATTATTTTTTACCGTTTCCTTTGTCTAGATTGAAATTGACCTTGGGAAGAAGTGCTGGTACCATTCTGTGTTCGCCTGTCCCATACTCCGGCAGCAGACGTCAGAGAGCAACCCACCCATGAAGCTCATCTGTGGCCACGTCATCTCCAGAGACGCCCTCAACAAACTGACAAACGCTGGAAAGTAAGCTGGAAACCTAGTTGGATTTACAGTTGATGACACATTTAATGAAGTAATTTTATACATAGCATATAAAAATCAAAAACTGGATTTTTAATCACACTAGTTTTGTTAAAAAGGGTTTCTAAAATTAGCCTTACATACCATACCTCCAAGTCAATGAGTTCTTAGTTTAGATGTAAGGAAATGAGCAAATGAGTAATATTTCCAAAATACAAGCAGAATATTCAAGATAATTAAAGCTCAGTGTTAATAGTACAATACCACATGATATATAATGAAAAAATATGGATTTGATCTCACCTCCTTATCCCCAGGTTGAAATGTCCGTACTGTCCCATGGAGCAGAATCCGTCACACGCCAAGCAGATCTACTTTTGATACTGCACACATTTACTCACCAGTGAGAATGAAGATCCCTGGAGCTCCTCACATTTCCAGGACCATTTGCTCTGGCAGTTTTCCCCCTGTCCCCGGCGCCTGGGCCTGTTATTTGTAAGCAAGTTAAGTTTATTTCCCAGTGCTCCAGTGGACAGCCTCGGCCACCCTGTCACCCACCCCGGACCCTTTAACTTTACATAGTCCAGAGCCCAGCGGTGATGATCCACCTACAGCCTGTCATCGTGCGTGTTGTCAGCGTGGAGATCATGGACGTCACAAGGATTCACCCGTGGAAATGGATCATTCATAAATTGCAAATGCGGAGTTAGAGGTTATCCTTTTTTTTTTTTTTTTTAAATCTGTCATACTTTAATAGTGTTTGTTTGACAGCTTGAGTTGGAAGGACAGCTTTTTTCCCCCCCTGACGGAAGTGGTGAAATAATTGTTAAAGGGTGTGTGTGTGTGGGTAAATGAGTGGTGAGCAGTTTTTGACTTCAGGATTGTAATGAACTTCTGTTATACCGGACAAACGGACAGCATAACAAAGTGTAGTTGGTTTAATCTGCTGCGAGGGGAGCCTGGAGGTCTGTCTTTGATTGTTGAACTATTACTCCTCCATAATAAAGGCCTCACATAGCTTAAAAGTCACCGTTGGCTGATGTATCCATTTGTAGAAAATCTGTAAGAAAATTGAACTAACTCATCGATGGCAGAACAGCTTTTTTTCCCCCTTTTGTGACTGACCGCACCAGCAAGATATTGTTTTTCTCATTATAGGAGCCATCTCTTGTTCTCTGTATGTAATTAACAATGACAAAAAAAGGAAACAAAAATATATATAACTACTGTGACATGTGTTTTTTTAATTGCAACTGCCAGGATAGCTCATGTAAAATAGTACATTTAACTGAAAGTCTACATGCATAATCAACACTGCTGTGTAACTTTCAGAAGTATTGACACGTCAGTTAACGTCACGGCCGTGCCGTCGCCTCACTCTGCTCTGCATCGTGTTCCCCCAGCTTGCACGCCATGTGACATGGAGATGTAAAGTGGTGTGACGGTAGCCGTTATGGTCTGACTTGCAGTGACTGTGGGCTTGTGATTCCGCTTTACTCGCCGTGGGTGGATGGAATCCTTCTGGTCTTTGTGGCTGTTGTTTAATATATACTTAGAAAAAAAATACCTTCCCTGCTTACATAGGTTTGTCTTTCATCCAGAGGTTGACTCATATGAGAAACAATAATACTTACATCTCCTCAGGGCTCGTCGTAACAGGTCATACACACACCTCACAGTTGGCTTTAAGCTTCTCATACGGATTACATACATTTTACATATTAATATATATACATATTTACGCAGAAATATTGTGATATTGATGCTCATAGTTTGAGTAGTACTGGAGTTTGTATTTATGAACTAACTGATCAAAGGTGGCCACTGGCGGTGGCGCTATGGTTTTCGGGACATTAGTAACAGGCGATAATAACGGTGATGTCATCTCACACAGTGAGGCAAAATCATTCATCAAGCACTGCACCAGCATCACTCACGTGTGATCATGATGGTTAATTTGTTTTAATGTCTTGCTTTTATTGAGTTATAGTATATGTTTTGTGGGGAATTATTTTCTCTACTTTTTTTTTTAAACTTCTTTTTTTTTTTTTTGACAATCACTCGTTGCTTCTTCTTGCGTTCATTTGGGTAGACTGCCAGCGCTTTGGATTTTGGTTGTGTCCTTTGTTGGATGTTTGCGATCCTGGCTTTTGTGTGTGTCTGCAGCCTTTATTGTAAATATTTATCCTCTAACCTGTTTCATATCCCTGCATCTGAGACTCGAAATAAAAATTTATACTCAAGGTCAGTTTTGAGGCTTCAGCGGGTATAAGGTGAGGATGTCCAAAATGTGTTCAACTTTGGCAGGATTTGAAAAGGTTAAAATACCTTAAGGTAAACTGCTCCTCCTCTGGCACTATATTGGTAGCCTTATAGCATAGTTGCCTAAGTAATAATTTGCCCAAATCTACTCTTTTAACACTGCTGATTCACTTTATCTTTTTAAAAGACTTGTTGACACATCTGCTTGATCCTGCTGTTACAGTTTAAATAAAAAGTTGTGTTTGCCAAAATGTTGGGTTTTTTTTTTTCCTTTTTAACAGAGAACCTTAAAATAGGAATTATGCTATAAGGCTACAATATATATTAGTATAGTATTAGTATATATATTAACGTGGCCACTTTAGGGGAGGTTAAATGCAAAACTTTTTTTTTTTTTTTTAAATCTAAATTATTAGATACAAAACAGGCTATAAGGCACATAAATTTCATATGAGAAAATTACTTTAAGGCTAAGAGATGCTAATTGGGAGCTAAAATAACGTAATTCCAAGAATACATGACGGTAGGTAAAGGTTTTTAATATATCCAGGGGGATAATAATGCTTTTAAATAAATTAAAATAGCCCTTTAAGACGTATTTCAATGTTTTGAGATTGATTTTGTTTCACTTGGTAGCATATCCAACCGTTCCTGAACAGTATTTTAGGTCAGCCAAAATAGCCACTATAAAATGCTAAGGATTTAGGAGTGACATAAAAATACGCTATCGCTGCTGCAGCACTCAAGCTTCTTGGTAAGGAGACTTAATGTGGATTTTTATTCATTTATTTAGAAATTTTCTTTATCAACATTGACCCGAAAGAATCACTGTGCGAAACTTGGCCTTATATAGGGACTTGATAAAATTAGAAATTCAGACTACGTTTATTTGTTAGCTAGCGTAACTTTACTTTTAAAATTACGTCGATTCTGGTGTTACCGTAACATTTACATTTCATTTTCATGTTCCATTGGTGAATTGGTCCGATTTTATTTAGTTTACATCTGTAGAACAGTGACTTACAAATATATTTTTTAAAATATATATTTCTTATTATACGCCATTGTGTTCTGTTTAACATAGATAGCAGTTTAGCTTAGCATATTATGTGCGAAATTAGTATCATTATCTTCAGGTGTTACTGCTACCAATTCAAAATATCAACACAGGGTGTCGCTGCTACCCCATTAAATATATATGCACTAAATTCTCCTAAAAGTCTGATCCACGGTTTGTTTGATTTTATTTTTCATTTTATTTTATTTATTTGGGTTTTTTTTTTTACAACTCAACGATACCATATTAATGAAAAGATGTAGCCGAGACTACAATTTAATGTAAGTATATTTTTTAATTAACTTAATCTAGTAACACGTTTAAACAAAATGTTTTGTTCTGTATACAATACAATATTCAAGCACACGCAAGCCGCTACTATTTAATGTAAGTATATTTTCAATTAACTTAATCTAGTAACATGTTTAAACAAAATATTTAGTTTTGGATACAATACAATATTCAAGCACACGCAATGTAACTAAAGTGGCAGAAAGTAATATTTAAAAATAAACAGCTAAACCCTCTGCATTACCTTAATAGACCACTTGGGGTTCACAGAACCCGCAATTAAGAACTCTGGTGCAAACTATGTAAAGTTATATATTTATATTCCATTGGCATTTTTCCCCTGATGGTATTTAGGTGCAGTCTGCCTGCAGTTTTAACGTTAGGCAAGAATGTGTGTCTTTTTTCTTTTTTTTTTATCATCCCACTTCACTCACTCATCCGTCCTAGCCTGAACTGTGCGGTTATATTAAGCTCCAGTTTATGTAATGTTTTAAAATGTCAAGGTAGAGGCTCTGTGAGTCAGCTGCAGCTCAACACAACCACAGTTGGACAGTTATTCAAATTGTTCATATTTTCTCATGTCTATCCTCTCATTTACAATGTTAACATTCCACAACTGTACTTTGTGTCTTGGCTGTATATATCTGTTAGTTTTCTTTGTTGTTTTTGTGCTAAGTTACTGGGTTGTTTTTTTTTTTTTTCAGTTATTTGACTGATTTATTCTGGGTTTTTTTTAAAACAGAATTAATCCAAGATTTCCATCCAAGCTGAACTTCTGCTCCCGCTTGTGCTGCAGTAGATGGTATGTGAGGGTTGACTGGAGGGAGCAGGGAGGGTCTTGGGGTGAGGCTGAGATAAGAATCCAAGTCTAAACCTCTAAAAGCCTCATCAGTTCCCAAAGCCTTTGCTGGTCTGTTGTTCTCGCTGTCATAAAGCTTCTGTCACTGGGTTTTTATTGCCACGCTGCACAGAGATTTTAAAGCCCTTCAGATAGGACAGGCGTCAGAGAGGCTGAAGGCTGTCAGTTAGTGGAGTCAGTGATTTCTCTCCACACAGATTCAAAGACTCCTTTAAATGTTCTGCAGCTGGGATTGAAACTGAAAATGACACTTGGCGAAGCTCTATCTGAAGTGATGGTGTCCAAAACCCCACCCTCCCCTATAAAATGTATATATATTTTTTGAATTTCTAATGTAAAATAATAATAGACAGAAAAACAGAGGCTTCACCTACTACATGCATTTATTGTTTTGTTTTTTTTTTGTTTGGTTTTAAAATCAAATGGCACCAATAAGCAGAGCAGGTTCATTCTTTAACTTCATGTGCGGATCGATCAAAATATACAGAATTATCTTTTAAGACAGCCAATAAAAGAACAATGTACTAAACATAAGTATCTTTTAAGACAGCCACGCAATAAAAGAACAATGTACTAAACACAATATGTTCCTTTTGACGGGAAACTGAAAGCAGTTCGTCCTACATTCACACCGTGTCCTGGCAAATATTTATCATCAGTACCATGACATCAGAAAGATGTAATCCTCCACATAAAAGCCAGAGATGCAGCTCAGGTGCAGGAGAATATGGTCGGCACGTACGAGAGCTCAGACGTTCCTGAGCCACAGTAGATCCCTTAAAATCCTGTGCAGAGAAAAAACCTACAGCAGTCCAGACCCGAATAAACACAGAACAGTCACAGTCAAATATCTACCTCTCTATTTACAAGACCACGATCAGGCCACAGTCTTAAAAGCAGCACAGTTGCGTTGCTTGTCTGTGTTTCATTCCAAAAGATAACAACTCTGCACCCGAGGGCAGATCAGACACACAGAGTGTTCGTGTGTGTGTGTGTTAGGCAGATCAGACACAAAGAGGGTTCGTGTGTGTGTGTGTGTTTGTGTGCGAGCTTATACAGTAGGTCCAGTCTTTTTTTTAAGATAAAAAAGGCCTTGAAAAAAAACGGGTGCATTGGCAGGATCCTTGAAAAGTCTGAGGAAGAGAAGAAGAAAACAAATCTAAAACAAATCCGATTTAGTGCCTTAAAAAATCCTCCTCCATCTGATGTTGATTTTCCACAAAATGCAATAAAACTTAAATCTGTAAATTGGCACCGGTGCGAAACACTACACAAAGTTAGGCTGAGGCAAAAATAAAGGTCATAGATATGATTCCATGTTCTTCAGGTGGTGGGGGTCTACTCTGGGGCCACAATAGAGAACACAATGCAGCTATGTTTCACAGCGCCCTCTGTGGGGGAGTCAGAATAGGTACTGTATTGTTGTTGATCCTGCCTGTCTAACTTAGTAAGTCCTTTACCCCAGTAAGACATTGATTTCTTCTTCTTCTCTTCACACACATGCTCTTCCATCACATCAGGAACAAACTGGACACATTCAAATTTCAGATGATTCGATCCTCTCTATCCATGGCAAATCTGACGAAAGTCTGTCCTCGGGTTTTTCTCTCACTCTGTGACTTCTCAACTCTGGCACTTCCCTTTCCAGTGTCCCGTTTCTGCTCCCTGCTCCTCCTCCTCCTCCTCCTCCATCTGATGTTGCTCCTTGCTCTCTGCCTGCCCTCAGCTGCTGCAGTTCCTTCTCTAGGAGTTCATTGCGACGGTACATGTCTACATAGCTGGCCTGCAGCTCCTTCTGGTAGCGGATGACCTTGTCTTTCTCCGTCTGCCATGTCAGCCTCTCCTCCTCGAAAGCCATGGCTTGGGCCTCGCTCTGGCGTCTCTCCAGCAGGAGCTCTGCACGCAAACGCTCCTCCGTGGGCCCCCCACAGCCTCCTGCAACACAAGAGGTTCACAAGGCTTCAACTACTGTACGCTGCAACAGTCCCATATGGGAAATATAATGAAAGGCTTTGGCTGATTTTAAAAGACATGCTTACATATATATATATACACACATATATGACCTTGTCTTGACCTGGTTACTCAAATAACCTGAAGTGTGTGATTGCAGCCAGACATAGTCTCGCTGTGTTGATAAGGAACCCAGTCAAAACCGACATCTGTGGCACATAAATCCTGGGCAAGATTCTTGGCACTGACCTCTGCCAGCTTTAAATTGGCCTAAGAATAAGACTGTTTTCAAACAAGTCTCAAAGAGGGGAAGTCAAACGGTGTTAAGATAAGCTAATTCTCTATGTATAATCTCATCTGTCATAATCATCATTTATTTCATTCATTTGTACTAAAGAATTTCTTTTTGGTCTTCTGCACCAGGTCACAATCTACTTATTTGCCTTGTTCATGGACTGACACACAGTTCCTAAAATGTTCTTTTGGTTTTTGGATATCAGACAGAGCTAAATCAGGGCAGTGTGGAACAATTTCCAATCACTAAAGAGAACTGGAACTATCTTTGAAACGTGTGCCAGTTCATGCAACTTTTCTCTCTGTATTTTGGGAAAAAATTATTTAAAAAATCAATCCTTCTACAGCCCAGAAAACCCATTCAGTGTGAATGCTTTAAAATGGGCTTCTCAACCATGTATAATAAGTGATACAACTTTACAATCATTAAACAACCAATTTAACACATGTTGTTATTATTATTATCATCATCAGGAAAGTCGACATACCTGTTGCCCCACAGGGAATTTAAAAAAAACAATTTACATCCCAGAAAACCCATTCACTGTGAATGCTTTGAAATGGGCTTCTCAACCATGTATAATAAGTGATACAACTTTACAATCATTAAACAACCAATTTAACACATGTTGTTATTATTATTATCATCATCAGGAAAGTCGACATACCTGTTGCCCCACAGGGCGTAACGTCTTCGGCTCCTTTTCCATCTTCCTGTCCACTCTGAGAGGACGACCTGTGACGCTGCGTCCCCTGCAGGATCTGCTTCAGTGCTTCAATCTGTGTCTCTCTGCTGCTCACCTCCACTCGAGTCTCCCTGAGCTGCGTCTTCAGCTGAAAGATCTCACTGAGCTTCTGCGTCACCTCAGTCTGGGAGTCTCTCAGCTGCTGTTTCAGCAAAGAGATCTCCCCCGACTTTTGGCAAACCTGAGAGACAGGTACAGTAGATCGATGTGAACATTAGCACAGAAGCAGAAGGAGAATATTCTTATAGGTTTTAACAAGGACAGCCTTCACTCATCCTGTCCCTTCTCTGTGAGACCTCACCTCCCACTGTGTCTCCTCCAGGGTCGGGCTGGTTCTTTTGACTACAGCTTCAGGTTCTTGGCTCCTCTGCTTTTTCAGATTGTCCAGCTCCTCGTGCAGTCGATTCTTCTCCTGCTGGGCTTTGAACAACTGCAACTGCATGCTGCGATGGGATCGCTGGGCATGCTGGGAAACCTGGCGCAGCTTGGCAGCATAAAGGCACTTGAGCTCCTCCACCTCCTTCTCCCACAGCCGCTGTTTCCCTTCAAACACCTGCATCAGGTTATCAGATGGGAGTCAGATCTCAGAAGTGAATGATTAAAAGATTGATGTCGTTCATACTGAGATTCACCTGAACGATGGCGCCCTCGCTCTCGTCCAGGTTTCTTTTCATCTGTTTCAGCTCATGTTCCTTCTCCACCAGACGCTCCTCCAAATCACGAACCTGGCAGGGAAACAGATTCACTGCTTAGCCGTGTGTAGCCATTCCGACCTGCTCTGACCTACACCACACACACTCACCACTTCCTCCACGGACAAGGAGAGAGTCCATTCATAAGGAGGTGGAGCCTCCCCTCCATATGGAGCCAGACGGTTCAGGGACGCCATGCTCCGACACGCCACCTCCCCAATGGCCACACCCTCTGACCCTACAACCTTCAGGCACGGTGAGCTGCGGTCTACGGATCCTATGGTGTTGATGTGGCCCATAGATGCACTGAAGTGAAACAAGAAGAAGAAATCACACCTATTAAAATCACCCCCACCCACACAGCCATTATGTATAAACGATAAGTCCAACATAAACGCATGAATTCCGCAGCCCACCTGATGTGAGCCAGGTGTGGGCGGAAGTGTGAGCGGTACGGCGGCAGGCTGCTCATGGAGTTGTGACCGGAGTCTGACAGGTTGTCGTCTTCCTGGCTCGTCCCACGCACAGAGGACAGAGCCTGCAGCTACATCAGACGGTTAATCAACACTTCAGCATTAAATTAAATGAGTTTAGAAAAGATTCATTCATAATTCAGTGAAAGGCTGTCTACGGTAGAGAGCTACAGACGAGAATTATTATTTGAGACCTTATTAGCGTTTGTTGTCTGTCCTCCAGGACGAGAGGGCGAGGAGGAAGAAGAAGACGTGGAAACAGCTTTGGGAACGTGAGCAAACGCTCTGTGCAGCCCGTTGGAAAAGCCGTGCTCCACGTCCTCTGACTTGTATGATGGATAGAGGTTCTGCATAGAACTGAAGTTTTTTGGCGGGACCGGCTTGAAGGCTGAGGATCTGAATCGAACCTGGACACAGAGTGAGTAAAAAGTCATGGAAAATGGACACATGTACAGCCAAGGAGAGAGAGCGCTGTAACATTATTCCACTGCAGATCACGACTACAATATGACATACACAGAAACACACACATAACTACATCGCAGCTTCTCAGTCTGCGCAGATGGAGGTTCATTTATGCAGGAAACACACATTCATGGTGTTACACTTCATTGAAGCATATTTAGCATTTTAGAATTTAAAGGTGAGTTCTTTTCATTGAAGCATTTTAGAATTTAAAGGTGAGTTCTTTGTAAAAGTCGTTGAGGTTGTTGAAACGTCTTTATACGTCACCTTTTCATATTTGCTTCCACTTGGCAGAGAGTTCTTTGTCAGATCTATTTCAGTGCCATCCTTGTGGTAGACCTTGGCATAGATGTTGTCCACATCACGTCCACTGGCGGATGTGATGTCCTTTCTGCCGTCACCGCCCGGGTGTGATTTAGGCTCTTTTCTATTAGGGAGCAGAGGAGGTCACATGAGGTCAAGTCCTCTCTCTCTGGGTGAGACGTTCTGATAAAATTATCCGGGCCATTTCAACTGTACCTGGTGATGTTGAGGTAGTTCAGCAGCTCTCTCTGCGTGAAGCCTTTCCTCAGGCCGTTGGTCTGCTTCGGTCTCACTTGAGGGACCGCACGGTTGCCTTTGGATGGAGACACATCTGGTCGCTCCACCAGACTGCCCACGCTTCCCATGCCACAACGAGAGGAGAGGGACGGGGCCGTGAAGGGGTTACGGAAGTTTTTGTTGGGCCCACGGGTCAGAGGAAGAGTTTGGACTGACGTTGCCATTGGTTACAGGCCTCTTTAGGGAGGTGAGGTGATCTGTTCAAAAAGAGTAGAATTTAATTGAAATAAAGTCTGTCGACACAGAAGAGTGTAGCTACGTCCCCACATAACACCACCGCTGTGAAGCCCCGAGCACCGAAGCAACAACAAAGCTCACTGCTGTTTTGCAAATTCCTACACGAAGAGCACAGAGAGCAAGTCATGGAGAAACCCTTCTTGTTCTTGTCCTTTTGCTCTGAATGGTTGAAGCTGACAAATACAGTATCATCACTCCTTGTAGAGACAGCTGTCCAAGCACAGCTACAAAAACCCCCATCACAGCCTGACAAAACAAACACACAAACAAACAAACCTCAGAAATAGAAATTCACTTGCCATCAACCATTGCCTGGGAAATTGTTTATTTCACAGAATATGCTAATCCTTAAAAATCCCATTTCAACTCTTCCTAATAAAAAAAAAATTAAGCCACATAAAACTAGTTCTTTTCCCCAATGTAGCCCATTATTAGCCGCAGTAGAAAGTCGTTACATAACCCTGATTCCAGCTTGGTTACAGAGAACTGTTTGGAAAAAACAACAACAGAGAATTTCATTACGTGTTGTGGTGGCAGCTCAATTAGTCTGCATTTCCTGTTCCTCTTGATAATCATGCGTATGTAATGTTCTAATCACACAGTACATTCTGACAAGATCTGTGGCAGCAGTGTGTCACAGCGTGTTCCAGGTCGGACCCAGCAGGCGACTGGGCCTGCAGAGCGGCAATACACTTCAGTGATTAACATGTTTCTATCCACTTTGACAAGGTAGACACAACAGAAGTTTTCAAAATTGTATTTTTTAAAAATTATTTTTACGTCATGAATCACTGGTTTGATTCTCTGGCTAACTTATGATCTTTTTATGCCTGTTCATTGTTTACTTCAGATATTCTGGTCGAGCTCGACTGTTTACTCTAAATTGAATTTTGAGTGTGAGTGAACAGTGTTTGCTCTCTTTTCATGAGGCTTTGTGAAGGACTGGCGTGGGCCACGCACTTGACCCATGTTAGCTTGGATTAGCTCTTGCCCACTTAACGTGACGTTACCCCGAAAAACTTTTAGCGCTAGTAGAAGATGAATGTATTAACTTTATTAGTAGTATTAGTAATAAGCCTTTGTCAGCCACGTTTCCGCTTCCTTATAGACAACCTCATTAAGGATCAGTATTGATTTCACCCCTCTGACCCTCTCTCTCTCTCTCTCTCCATGCGTAAACACCCTCAGTGGCCATAAAACATTCTGAAGATCATAAAACACACAAACCCAATCTTTCAGACCATAAATGGGACCACAGGGAGGCAAATGTCCCCTTTGTGTTCAGCCAGCTGAACAGTCTGTCTTTTTCTTGCACCCAAGAAAAAGACAGACTGTTTTATGCCAATACATTTTGGACACATACCACCAATCAAATAATAACTTCATAAAGAAACCTGATCAAATGTCAGATAAGCCAAGTCGGACAACAGAGGCATTGCATTTGTTTTTAGGAATATTTTTAGCAGTAATGCACTTCCCTGCTGAGAACATTAAGAGGTTTCAGACGTCCGATATATGAGACACAGCGCTATCAAAAACCACTTTACTTCACTGGTTTGCCGTAACAAGAATGAGCCCACAAGATCAGCAGTAACTGTGTCATAAAGGATTTTATGTCTCGGAGAAGCCTGGAAGAATGCTGTTTGTTTGAATGACCTTGGGTCTCGTATCGAGAGGAGTTTCCAAACAGTTTCCTGTTTGTACAAGCATTACTGTTCAAACAAGGAACAACTTAAAAGAAAAGTCAAGCAAACAAAGTCACCCTGGTTGGAAAGGTTGGCTGTTACAAGCTGGTGCCGGAAATTTAAGTTATAAAGAAATGAATGACGTGCCAAGCTGTAAGGCAACAAAAAACAAATCACTGAAAATGCTATTTTGACATCAATTTAAAATCAATACTCAAATCAATACTCAATACTCAATAACTCAGATTGAATTAAAAAACTCAGGAATTAAAAAATACACATCTGCAAAGTCTTGCTAAAGGAAAATAGGCAAATAGGTGGCTCACAGGCCTGATGGTGGACTTCGGGCCACCATTTGAGAGCCATGATAGTCTTTATAGTCTTTATAGTCTTTATTTCCCATATTTATACATATAATAAAATAAGAAGCCGTTTCTATTTTGACATCAATTTAAAATCAATACTCAATAACTCAGATTGAATTAAAAAACTCAGGAATTAAAAAATACACATCTGCAAAGTCTTGCTAAAGGAAAATAGGCAAATAGGTGGCTCACAGGCCTGATGGTGTACACATCTGTAAAAACTTGCTAAAGGAAAATAGGTGGCTCACAGGCCTGATGGTGGACTTCAGGCCACCATTTGAGAGCCATGATATAGTCTTTATTTCCCATATTTATACAAATATAAAAAAGTATAAAAATACCAAAATGCTAGATATTTTTGAAGGGAATTATGGAGAATGCTTGGCAGGTTTGTCTGTTCCTAAAGGAATTGAACCCGCGGCTCATCAGGGAGGTCGTCCTCCTGTTCAGCAGTTGGCCAAAACTGATGTACAATATTAAGCGACATTAAAGCAACTCCTCTCCGTCAAAAAACTCCCTCTGTGACACCGTCTTCTCCTCTCGCTTCCAACACAATCCACGTTTATCAAGTGCCGTGCACCACTGGCTCCTGCAGTTACAGCAATTATGTAAATGCTTCAAATCGGGCAAAGAGAGGTGCGCAAACGTGGCTCCAGCCCACTTCACTCAGGGCTCTGAGCCAGGATCAAAGGAGAACAAGCTGCTCATGTTTATATTCATGAGGTACTACCCCCCCACCCCATGTAAAAGTTTCCACTAAAGTGTCTGGGCTTCTAACAAGCCAATATAATACAGGGGAGAAAAGGAACCTACGGCTGAGTGATGATGCTCATCACCAAATATAATGTGACGCCTTCTAAGTAAGTGTATCCTCCGGGTTCAGGATGTCTAACTCACTCCACTTTTCCAGACACTTAGAGTTAGACATAATAGATGTTAGGATGTTTTTGTGAATGGTACCGATGCCGTTGAAATGTTCCAGACCTGATAGCGGAAAGTTTTGATGTGTAGTTTAGAGTATTATTTGCTCTATTTCAAAAACACATGTAAGAGGTCAATGGTTTGACAGGAACTGGAGGGGCGGGTTGTGGGTTTACGGCTGGATGAGGCAACCAATTCGATTGGGTCGGTGGGGATTAAAATCCATTTAGGCCGTAACCACAAATCTCACAGGATTGAGGCAACGTTGCATCCAGTTGTTTTCTATAATTGCCTGGGAGTTTATGGGCCCGAGGAAAGACACAGTCAGATTTACAACCCTATTCCGATTAGGCTGGAGGCCCTGAAAGGTAACAAACCTCCTTAAATCTCACACACACACACACACACACCATCAGATGCATCAAAGCCACACGTCCTCCAGGCCTTGAACATCTACGATCTACTTGAAAGGTGTCCTGTTTTTGATTTAATCTTATTTCAAAGCAACAACGAGCCTTTGCTTTTTTTCTTTTTTTAAAGCTGCCAATTTTGATCAAACCAAAAACTTAAGAAGCCTGATCATACAGTAGTGTATAAAAGTACTGCACACCTGCACTACACTTTATTTAGTGGGAATATATGAGAAAAAAACATTTGTGACACCAGAGGAAACCTAGTAACTTTAGAATTTATTTTTCTCAATAAATTTGTCAATTTGCAAATAACCTTTTAATGGTATAGATAAAATAATGTTATTGGGCTTGCATATATATATATATATATATATATATACTGTATATGTGTGTTATGTGTGTGTATCTTTAATAACAAAATGCTCTTTATTACAGTGACTAAATGACTGGGAGCGTCATTCTTCAGAACCTGCTTGGCCCAAAGATTAGAGGTAAGAGAAATATTTTGTCCTAACAAGTTTGAGGAGAAGAATGAATGCTTTGATACGTATTTTGTGTTAAGTGACGTGGAACGTCATGAAAATATAAGATGACAGATATGGACCGGACTCTCTCCCTTCCTCCTTCTCTCTCTCTCTCTCTCACACACCCTGACAGCTGCTGGTTTTCTTTAAATGTGAGTCTTCTGATGAACACTTAACTCATCTAGAAAAGCGTACAACCTGCACTTTACACACACACACACACAAAGAAAACAAAACAAAGTCTTCGTGCAGAAGGTTTCTCTCTCCCCTTAAATATTGTAATCACGGCTGCTGTGGGCAAAACAGAGTGATGAATGAAGAGGCTGAGCGTGAAAAGAGGACTCTTCAAACTCTTGGGAGGTCATCCCTGGGAATCAGGGGCTGGTGAAAAGAATAGGGACAGCAAATTCCATAGATGCTTCACAGAACACAAGCTGAGGCTCGTCAGCTTCTGATGCCGAAACTCTTCACGGACGCTAACTCACACTAGCGTGTCACTCAACGCTGCCCTGCTAAAAAGATAAATGAATGTGTCAGCCCCTGGGCCGCATGCCCTCTTTCCAACACGTCTGTGATCCTAGATGTTGACATCTACACACTGCAAACACACACACACACACACAGTGTTACCTTCAGGTAAACCTGGCACTAGACCAATGGAATCCATTCTACAAAGACCTAGCGTTTTGTTCTCCACAATAAAAACCTAATCAAAGACCGTTTTGTTCTCCACAATAAAAACCTAATTTTCTGTCAAGAGCTAAAAGCAAAACCGTGAATACGTTTCAATACACTCTAATTGTACTCTTTCTTTGCGTAATAATATCGTGTTTGTGAGTCCAGTGTTGTACTGTATGACTGTGGGAAAATACTAACATTGGCTGCTTAACAGCAAAAGGTCAGTAGTTAAAATCTGTGTTTTGTCTCGGGGCATGTTTTCTTCTGTTTGGAGTTTGCCTGCTCTTCTCTGATGTGTCTCTGGTTTCTCTTCCACGGACAGATTAGATATGTATTTATTTATTTTAAAAGCTACTGACAGGTCAGGATTGTTAAACATGTCAGTTTGGTTTCCCTCTAAGAAAAACAACCGATCACGCCGTCTTATCGTGTCCTTTATCTCAGCCTTTGGCTGGTGCTATCAGTTACCTCCGAGTATAGATATCACTATATCCAACCCTGGTCTCGTTCACACTATCGTGTAACAGAAGTCAATCAGGGCATGTACACATTTCAGTTTCTCTGTCATATATATACACATAAAAAATATATATGTATATGTATAGTATATATCGAAGCAAGGCCTGGTTGTATTTTCTTTTTTTAAATGAGGGTAAAAAGGTTATTCCTCTGTTGTCTGTCGCAGCAGGGTGAGTTGACGAGACAACATCATATACTGTGTGTAGAAGCAGAGCAGACGTCTCTACTCTGACTGACTTTGACAGGCTGGCACACGATGAGTGAGTGTGAGATGTTAGAGGGTTTCTGACGGGCAGATAAGTGTTCTGCTGTTTGGACATAGTCATGGGCAGAGTTCACTTCTC